CACTCAGAAAACCAGAAGTGGTGCTGTGGCTCAAGTGGCTGAGTGCTAGCCTTAAGCTGAAGAGTTCAGGGACAGCACCCAGGCCCAGGGTTCAAGCCCCACAACCAACCAAAAAAAAAAATTCAAATGAACTCACAAAACAAATATGACATGTACTTTTTTATAACCTAAATTTTTACCTATTCCAAAGTAAGCATTTTTGTTATAACATTATCCTCCTCTGTGTGTGTGTGTGTGTGTGTGTGTGTGTGTGTGTGTGTGTGTGTGTGTGTGTGTGTGATTTCTCTATTTCAAAAGATGAAACCAAGGGATGGAGCTGTAGCTCAGTGGTAGGACACTTATCTAGCATGAGCAAGGTCCTAGGTTTAAGTCCCAGCACCACAAAAACAAAAGAATAGCAAAGTATGTCTGTATTTTATAGCTTTCTTTAATTCCACAGACCAAGGATACCATCTTTCCTTGCTATATAAATATTCAGGTAGTAATAACAACAGATGCTGGAGGGGATATGGGCAGAAGGGAACCTTACTGCATTGTTGGTGGGAGTGTAAACTCGGTTCAACCACTTTGGAAAGTAGTATGGAGGTTCCTCAAAAGACTCCACATCGAGCTCCCCTATGACCCAGCAATCCCACTTTTGGGCATTTACCCAAATGTTTACAAACAAGACCATCCTAAAGCTACCAGCACAACTATGTTTATTGCAGCATTATTTACTATAGCTAAGATATGGAACCAACCCAGATGCCCCTCAGTAGATGAAAGGATCAAGAAAATGTGGTATATATACACAATGGGAATTCTATGCCTCCATCAGAAAGAATGGCATTGCCCCATTTGTTAGGAAATGGAAAAACTTGGAAAATATTATATTAAGTGAAGTAAGCCAGGCCCAAAGAAACATAGGACCCATGGTTTCCCTTATTTGCAATATCTAGTATATGTCTGAGTCAAGCAGAAAAGGTCAGATAAGATGATGTTAGAGAAATGAACCCTAAGATATGTATTCAAATGTTTTTCTTCTTTCATGCGATTGTTCCTAAAATATTTATAAGATTATTTCTTTGTTGTTTTGTATGTCCCTCCCCCACGGTATAACACCTGCTTTCACTGTATTTGATGTCAGTATAATTTGTGGAGGGGAAAGGGCAAAAACAAATCGTTTAAATAGGGATACAGGTGGACCCATTGCAACAATGAGATGTAGAAGTCGTTATGTCAAAAACGAACTTTACAACTTTGGTGTGGGGGGTGGGGGGAGGAGGAATTGGTGGGGGCGTGGGGGGGAGGCTGGGAAGGGGAAACAAAGGAGGAGGCTACAATGCTTGATAAGAAATGTACTCATTATCTTGCCCATGTAATTGTAACCCCTCTGTACAGTATTTTCACAATAAAAAAAAAAATTCAACAACAAAAAAAAAGTAATCTTAAAAATAAAAAAAATGTTCAGGTAGATCTGTTTCCCTTACCTCCTTTATTTAGGAACAACTTTTTTTTCACTTCATTTTTTATGGTACTAAGGGGTCTCAGTTCAATATGTAATTATGAGTAGAATGCACCTTGATCAAGGTCATCCCATCTATTATTCTCTCCCCTCCCCACTTATCCCAACCCATTCATGCCCTGAAACTACCTAGCTGTATTTTCACGTATGTACATTGAGCATTATGCAGGTACTGTGGCCCTGCAGCTCTCCTTAGGACACTGGCATGTTACTGCAGGGTCCCAAGCATCATGGAAGCCAGTGTGTGTCCCACAGCTGGCTCCACACTCATTAGCTCATTCTCAATACAAGGCAAATGTTTTACTTGTCTACATAGACTTTATCCCAAAGACTCTAGATAACAGGCAAAAGCAGGCAGATGAATTTACATAGCTGCCACTCAAGATATTAAAAGGCTATACTGTATCTTCAGGTGGCAAACAAAGAAAGAAACTATTGTTCCCTTTCTGACTCACAAAAATTCTATTAAATTAACCAGATTGGAGGTGGTATGTGATATTACAGTTAGCCCCTCATGTCCATGGGTTCTGCGTCTTTAGATTCAATGGAGCATGAGTCAAAAATATTTAAAAAACAAATTCCAGCCAGGGACTGTGACATACACCTATAGTCCCAACTACACAAGAGGATCACACTTGAGTTCAAGGATCATACTTGAACAACATCAAGATGTCATCTATGAAAAAAAACAAGTCCAGGAAATTCCACAAAGCAGAAATTGAATTTGCCACAGTCCAAGTTCCACACTGAGTCAACATGAATGAAGTGATATGCAGGCCCTGCCTGTGCAAACTTTCACCATCTCACAATCTGTCTCTATCCAGCGGAGAACATCATTTGCCTCAGGTCTTGTACATCTTGTTCACGTACTATGCAGTGAGGCCTACAATGGAGGCATTTGTTCTGAACACACACTCTTATTTCTTGTCATTCCTAAACAATGCAGTATAACAACTATTTAAAGAGCATTTGCATTTTGTAAGTTATGATCAGTAATAGATAGATAGACAGATAGATAGATAGATGTAAAATGGTGCAACAGTTGCATATAACCTACACAATCTTCCCCCAATACTTTAAACCATCTCTATTGGATCCCCAGGGGATCCCGGAACCAAGATGCTGTGGGATAGCTATATTAATGGAGGGACAGAACATGTCTTGTACATGTTATTTTTTTAGGGGTACACATAATTATGGGTTAATACAGAAGTGAAACAGCAGTCAGTGAAGGACTTACCTCTACCCGCTTGGCCCAATCTTTTTATGTATTTAAAGATGGAATATGAAGGATTCACCCCCACTCTATTATTCCAGATGCGTGCAGATCTCAGGCAAAACTCCAGGTTTGCACGGATATGCAAGGCAATCCAAACTGAGCCTGACTGTAAACATTCTGAATCATTGTGGGCCTCGCCTATAAGGCTCTGAGGCTGAGCTATGAGACCAGAAAAGGGTTAAGAGGTTGGAAGACTGAGTATTGGACCCCATGAAAGTCAAACTGTCAAGGCAAGACCAATGTAGAGCTGTTTGAACAGTAAAAAGCTTGAGACTTTGGATAAGGAAATCAATTATAACTATACTTACCCTATTCCTTGCCTGCACCTGCAGTCATCTCCCCTATGCTGAAATCAAGTAACCTCTGTCTCCTGGCTCAGGCCCCATAAAAGCCTTAACTCCAACCCCATCCCCTGGAACAAACCTTTGATCCCATGGGAAAGTTGCTGCTCCTCGCAGTTCTTCAATAAACAGTCCTTGCCTATGCAAGATTGAGTCGGGCCTGCTTCCTTCCTTTCCCTTCCATTTTCCTAACAGTCAGTGCTGGTAGACAGCTTCTGGAATACATTCCTATTTTACTCTCTTGAGGACTCACACAGCCTCTTTGGAAGATACCCAATTTCAGGTCATAACAGAACAGATTGGAAGTTACCCAACCAGAGAATCTTTTAGAAGTGTTCTAGCTAAATCTTGATGGGGTACAAGCAATTAGTCTCCCAAGAGAATAATCACTCAAGAATCTCCAATGCAGTGTGGCATGAAGGAACCAGGGCCAGGATTTCTGCTGCCTGATTCCTGAATGCCCTTAAGACCTAGACCGAGGCCAATCAGGATCTTAATTAAAAGTAGAATCATCAAAACCAAAAATAACCACCAAATAGACACGTGCCTAGATGAGTCATGACATCTGCTCACTGCAGACTATTGATGAAATGGAATAAGGAAATCTGATTGTAAATGCACAGTAATATGTATTCTCATCCCTATGTCCTGCATACTCCTAACCACCCTTAGCCGGCTCTTCCCTCTCTTAACAGCTAGTCCAAGGAGGGATGGAGGGGAGAAAAGAGATAGTACAGGTATAAAAGATCCAGGTTATCTCTACTCAATGCCATGTGTCTCAGAGAATATATTCACTAAAGTAAGTTACAACTCACTAAATAAGTTGTAATGACATTTTTCAGCTAGAGTTTACAAATTACATATTTGTATATATAATTTATATTATATATTATATTATATATGTATATGTGTATATATATGTATATATACCTATATAATTTGTATATATACACATATATATGCATATATATACATATATATGCACATATATATAATTTGTAAACTCTAACTGAAAAAATGTCATTACATTACATTTATATATATATATATAATTATGACACAAGTAAACTGTTTGCCTAGCAAGTGAAAGGCCCTGAGCTCAAACCCTAGTTTAAAAAGAAAAAAAAAAAAACAGAAAAGGAGGGTGGAGAGGGTCTGTATTCTCCCTTCCTTTGTCAATCTTTCTCAGTTCTTATTTTGGTTGGCCTCCACAGGTTAAGTCAACACTCCGTCTTCCTGACTTATATGACTTCATTCCTCCTAAGCCTTTTCCTATTGCCCGAATCTTCTGCTGCCAGCAATAAAATAGCCTATCGTGCAATGAGAAAGAATAAGAAGAAAAGCCATCTCCATTTTTGCTCAGGTTACCTGATGGTAAGCATCTACCTCATAAAATAGCACTAAAATGTGAACATAAACATTGAGAAAAGCAGACTTACATAGTCAGAACTCATTCGAAATATTAGGGAATCTGAGCACAATTCTTGATTTGGGCCCTGAACTGTTAAAAAATCAGACATACTGCACTAAGTCCCTATATACACCAATCCCTGATGCTCAGCAGAGTTAAACCCAGAGGTACCATTGTTCCACCTCTCAGATTCCTCAGAAGTACTAAGTCATTACAGCCATCTTTGTAGACACCAAAAGGCATTTAAAAAAAATCCAAACTGAAAATTCATTGCAACAAAGACTACACTGGGGTGTGCTGAGATCCATGATAAGTTGCAGTTTTGGCAGCACGTTTAGTTCCCTGCTTCACACATCACAGATGGAACCAATGCTTCAACAGACAAGATCAGATCTTTCACATCAGAAAGTTTCCAGACTCTGGCCCATTTGGCCTCCCAAGAAGGAATTTACATGTTGCCATTACCTGTATAAGTGACGGTTGTCTTCAAAGTCTTCCTGACCCCACTTCCCCTTGACATCTTCAATAACGTGATTCTTGAGGAATTTTTTCAGCAGTTGGACAGTCTGTTTGCGAGTCACTTCTGGGCCAAAGTTCTGACTGCACCTCAGCAGCTCATGCAGCCAGTCCACAGCTTCAGCCGCTGTGAAGCAATGCTCGTAGCTCTTGAACCGACAGCGATGCTTCCGCAACGGCATCCTGGCACGAAAAAGCTCCACAGTTTCATTCCACTAGGGCAAAAAGGAGGCAAAAGTATTTAGTAATTAACTGATGGCTTGGTTGGGGTTTTTTGTGCCAGTCTTGAGGCTTAAACTCAGGGCTTGGATTTTCTGCTCAAGGCTAACAGTTTACCACTTGAGCCATAGAGCTCCACTTCCAGCTTCTGGGTGCTTCATTGGAAATGAGAGTCTCGTGGAGTTTCCTGCCTGTGCTGACTTCAAACTACAATCCTCAGATCTCGGCCTCCTGAGTAGCTACAATTACAAGCATGAGCCCCTAGTGGCCAGTTCAACTGAAAGTCTTTAAAACATTGTTACATCCCAATGAGTGCAATGTTTCCATTTAAAAAAAAAAAACCTTCTTGAAAGCTGGGGATATAGCACAGTGGTAGAGATTCTGAGGAGGCCTTTAGTTAGATGGATGGGCAGACAAAGAGAATTAAAAATTATTAAAATCTGCTTGAATAACAGATGAAGCCTTCTTCCCTGCAGCCTTCAAATTCTAAAGAAAAGTTCTAGAGAAATAAATGGTGGTGATAGTTTCAAAGCAAGCACAGATGTAATTAATGAAGTTCTTACAAACACTACAGATAAAGTGCACGAAGCCTGTCAGTGCCTGTCCTGTAGCAGGTGCTTCATAAACTTTAGCCATTAGAATCATTGTTGTTGTTGTTTTATTATCAGGGTAAGTGAAACTGTTAAAGCTGTACAAGTATATTAGAAAGACCCCTGAGTGGAGTTTCCACTGGCCAAGGTTTAGCCTGAGTTCTGCTGATAAACACATGGTGCTGGCATAGTTCATATTTCTCTGTAGGAATTTATAGTGAATAAAAACAAAGATGTGACCAGACCAAAAGCAAACCCTGCCAACACAGCTGCACACAAAGGTGGGAAGGCATGCCCCAGAAGCAGTTCCTCTGGCACAGGATCAGCATAAAATCCAGAATTGAGTCTGGGGTTATCTGGGGCCACTGAAGCTACACTGTCTCCTTCACCTTTGCAATGTCAGGCTTCGATTATGCAAACATAGATTTCTTCCAAACAAGTTAGAGCACCGATGGCCAGTCTCAGCAGATTGTGCCTTCACAGCCAAGAGCGAGCTGCTATGACACTCACTGCAGGCTCCTCCAGAAATGCCACAGCTAGGACAGTGATGCACTGGGAGGATTTCCCAGCCAACTAAGACATAACCTCCAGCTACACCTCATCCGCTCCACAGAAACATCTTTGAGGACAGTCTACTTTTATTAGAAGAATTAGGTATCAACGTCAACTACGTCTGGCGGAAAAAAAAAATCTCTAACAGTGTAACACCCACTAAATACAGCAGATGGCAGCATCATGAATGAAACTGACTTAGCAGGACCAAAACTCCTCCAAAGCAGGACCTCGGAAACCACACTGTTACTTGCTGGCAAGATCTAGTTTTAAGTATACAGGACCTATGCAATTGGACCTCTAGGAATGTTTTCTTAAACTTAACAAGCATGCCAGGTGTATCATCTGGTGTGTACCAAGAGTCCTTGAATATTTTCTTCTTCCCACATGCCTATTTCTCCACAATAGTGAAATTTTCTTGGCAAGGGATGGTAGGAATCATTCCGACTGCTAGAATTATTAATTCATGACGTTTTCTGCTTCCAAGATTTTTTTTTCTTTTTTCTTTTTCTGTGTGTGCCAATCCTGGGGCTTGAACTTGGGAGTCTGTCAACTAACTGTCCCTGAGCTTTTTTTACTCAAGGTTAGCACTCTGCCATCTGAGCCACAATTCCACTTCTGGCTTCCTGGTGTTTAACTGAAAATGAGTCTTAGGGACTTTCTTGCCCAGGCTGGATTTAAACAATGATCCTAAGCTCTCAGCCTCCTACATAGCTAGGGTTATAGATATAAGCCACAGGCTTTGGTACACTCCTTCTTCCTTATTTATGTGTAAAATTACATCAGTGACAGGAATTTATGAATCAGAAAAGCCTAGAATACTAGCTTATACTAGAATCTTCAAGGACATGATGAGCTATTCAGTGTCCTGCCAGTCAGATGGGGGAGGGGGGCTCACACAAGCAAAGGTCTTGGCATCCCTCCTAAACATCATCCTCCTAAACATCACAACCCATCATGAGGCTCTTGCCTAGTCTTTGTTTCTAATATATAAACATTTGAATCATTTTTGTTCCCTGGAAACTTAGAATGTGCTCCAAAATTTTCTTCCCATGATCTTGGTACATTTAATTTTCATAATAAGTATCTGATAGAAGTTGTGGAATTTACACCAAACCATGCAGCTAATAAATGGTAGAACTGATGGATACAGATGTTTCTCAGCTCACAATGGGGTTACATCTCAGAAATCCAAATGAGTAAAAGAGAGAGTATATACAAATATAAGGAAAGTATAGGGGCTGGAAGGTGGCTCAGTGGTAGAGCGCTTGCCTTGCATGCCTGAGGCCCTGGGTTCGATTCCTCAGCACCACATAAGCAAAAAGAAAAAAGCCAGAAGTGGCACTGTGGCTCAAGTGGTAGAGCGCTAGCCTTGAGCTGAAGAGCTGAGGGACAGAACCTAGGCCCAGAGTTCAGGCCCCATGACCGGACCCAAAAAGAAAAGAAAAGTGTAACAAGATGGCTAGAATTAAACGAGGAAGAGTAGAAAGACAGTCCTTAAAGAGACCCTGAACCTCCCCCACAGTATAACCCCTGCTTTCACTGTATTTGTTGTCGGTATAATTTGTGGAAGGGAAGGGGAAAAACAAATGGTTTAAATAGGGATACAGGTGGACCCATTGCAACAATGAGATGTACAAGTCGTTATGTCGAAAATGAACTTTACAACTTTGGTGGGGGGGGCAGGAGGGGGGAGGATGGGAAGGAATGGGAAGGGGAAACAAAGGAGGAGGCTATAATGCTTGACAAGAATTGTACTCATTATCTTGCCCATGTAATTGTAACCCCTCTGTTCAGTATTTTCACAATAAAAAAAATAAAAATTTAAAAAAAGAGAGACCCTGAACGTAGGCCTGAGTTTTTATCTACCTGCCTACCTCAGAAGGCAGCTATAACATTCTTTTGTAAAAGATAAACTGTTCCTTACATATCTGTTGAATGCATAAAATCCCAGGATAATCTCTTAAAAGAATGCATAAGGTTCAATCTATACTACAACTAAAAAGAAATCTTCAGAAGAAAATCAGCAGGGCACCCAATTTGGCAAATGTTATTTAAGTATTTGGTCTAAGAATAAGATCTGTTCTGTTGAATTCTCTTAAGAGATTTTACAATATGAAGCTGATTAGCAATAAACGTACATAATCCCATTTTCTACTTCTATAACAAAACACCTGAGACTGGGTAACTTTAAAAAAAAATATGATTTGCTGAGCATTAGTGGCTCACGCCTGTAATCCTAACTACTCAAGAGGCTTCAGGTTGCGGTTTAAAGTCAGCCTGAGCAGGAAACTCTATGAGATTCTTATCTCCAATAAACTACGGGGAAACACACAAACACACACACACACACACACACATGTCAAGGTGTGGCTCAAGTGGCAGAGCACTAGACTTGAACAAAAGAAGCTGAGGGATAGTGACCAGGACCTGAGTTCAAGCTCCTATGTTGATGGCTAATTAGAAAAGAGTCTCACGGACTTTCTTGCCCTGGCTTGCTTCAAACTATGAGCCTCAGATCTCAGCCTCCTGAGTAGCTAGGATATGAGGTGAACTACCAGCATCAGGTTCTAATCTTCACTTGCCTTTAACCAGGGATGTGTGGTAATGCTCTACTGACAGCTACCTATCATTTCTCATAATTTTTTCACCCAAACAGTCTTCAACAAATACGAGGAGGCATATGAAAAGATCTTCATGTATTTTATGTTGATTGGAATTATCAAAATCACTATCAACTAAATATAATGCATAATATCTTATTCATCATTTAGATACATAATACCTGACCCTTGGGACTCAATGTTTCCAAATATGATTAAATATATCTAGTAATTGACCCAAGATGGTCAGTGTTTGTACTTGCTATTTCAATTACAGAAAGAATAATACCTATTGGTACTACAGAAGTCTATGAAAAAAGTTTGTCTGTCTCTCCAATCCTCCAGACCTGTTGAACAAAGACATAAAAACAGAAGTGTACCCTGTCTGTATGTATGTTATTCTCTGTTACTATTTCCTTTTTATGAAATGGCATTAATCACATGTTTGTTGCCATTAATATACCATGGCGTCTTTCCGTGTCATTATCTATAGATCCCAACCCATACTTATGAGTGTTCATAATTTCTTCATCCATTTTTTTAGCTAATGAGCATTCAAGATATCTCCAGATAGGTATGATAATGCATTTCTATGATCCTAAAACTCAGGAAACACAGGTAGTTTAAGACCAGTCCAAGTAAAGTTAGAGAACCCCTATCTCAAAACCAAAATACAAACAAAAGGTCATAATTTGAATGGCAGAATACTTGCCTAGTATGCTTGAAGTCCTGAGTTCAATCCTCATTACCGGAGGGTGGAGGGAGTTAAATTATCTTTAATCTAAGAGTACACTATTCTCAGGCACAATTAGAAAGAAAACAATTATACATGAACAAAAAACAAAAACAAACAGCTTGAGAATGTCTTTTTTCCCCATAATATATAATATTTGAAGAGATTAAAGTAGGGGAAAATGATCCATTTCATAATTTAAAAACAAATTTATCTATCTTATTTTAGGTCCATAATCTAAGGAATAAGAAACAGTCCAATAAAACATTACTTAACAGAAAGCATACCACAGGAGCATGTCACAGCATAAGGGCAAGACCAGACTTAAGCAATTTTCAGAAAAAGGATTTTCTTTGTCCTTTATTTAAAATAGTGAACAATTGGAGGTCAGCCTAGAATGATTGGTAAGTTAAAAGGCCAGGGTGAAATGCACCAAACCTTGCCTGAAATTTTAAAACAAACAAGCAAACAAAATATTAACATGGCATGGTACCATACACCTGCAAACCCAGCCACTCTGCAGGCTGAGGACTGCTTTGTGCAAAAGCTTGAGGAAACATAGGAGATCCTGCCTCAAAAAAAAAAAGTTCTTAGCTATTTAATCATGGGTTACAAAATGATTAAGTGATAGCAAATGGCTAATTTGTTTCCATATTCCTCATGAAGTAGGACAGTCATTTGATTTCGCCATACCAAAATAAAAAAAAATCCTTTTTTTTTCCTTTTGTAGTACCAGAGTTTGAACTCATCTCATGCTTATTCAGTTTGCTTGCTCAGTTGAGATCCACTACCTAAGTCATGCTCCAGCTTAGTTTTGGGGCTTGTTATTTTGGAGATAGGAGTCTCACTGACCTGTTCTACCCAGCCTAGCCTCAAATTTTGATCCTCCTGAATAAGAAAGAATACAGATGTGAGCCGCTGGCCCTGGCTAGTTTCTCATACTTAGGTAGCTTCAGACTACAATCTTCTTATCTGCTTCCTGAGTAGCTGGGATTACAAGTATATACCAACATGCCTAGCCAGTAAATTTGTATTTATTGCATTGTTTTGCCACCCTTACTATTAAGCAATAGGATTGAATTTCTAGACTAAGATGCTTTATTTCCTTTGGCCAATGAGAGTTGAACAAAAAGCCACAAGTCTAAGCCATTTAGCTATTCTGAAACAACAAGGGCACTATGTGAAGATGCCTAAGCTAACATATTAGAGACATATGCCCAACTAACCCAGGACTGAGTCAACATACTACCCCTGCTCACATGACCAGATGATTGTGGCACATGAGTGAATCCCATTAGAAGAACCAATGATTTAAGTCCAGCTGAGATTGCTGACTCAAAGAACCACAAGGAAAGACTTGGTTGTTGGTTTGTCAAATGGGTCAATACCTTAAAGTCCCCTGATAACATGAATATGTGGCTTTTGCATTTTATCTGTAAAGAGGATTGGTAATTTTTATTGGATTTTCAAAGTGGCTTATGAGCCAAATAAGTAAAAAACCATCAGCCCTCAACATTTCTCCTACCAGACATGGTCTTCCAACCTATGGGCAAAAAAGTGTGGCTGGCTCTAGAAAGAGGAGGAAACCATTTCCCAATATTTTCACATGGTGCACATATGATTGAGTTTAAACCTTAATTCCTACCTTTTCCTACATATTCCTAAGGCATACAGAACAATGAGACTCAATTCCAAGTCAGATGCTTCCCAAAGTGGTTGACAGACCACGAAGTCAACAGTCTTCCTCCCAAAGTACCTTTTAAGCATCCAGAGAAAGTCCTCAAAAAAACTGTCATGAACTTTTACCAAGATGTCACTCTATTCCATTATGGTAATCCTTGAGGCAGAAATCAGTTAAAAACAAACAAACAAACCTGCTTGCTCATGGTCATAAGCAGAGCAAGTGGACATCTGAATACTAAAAGTTAATCCGAGAGAAATCATCATCCTTTACCATCAAAGCCTGCAAAAAACTCTTTCAGACCATCCACCCCTGCTAATTTCTCAGCTAAATCGGAGACAACAGAAACAGAAACACGAAGCGGCTTGAAAGCTCCACCTCAGTTCTGGACAGTTAGAAAACTTTGTCAAGTGTCAACAAGCGTCATTCAGGAAGGACACACACACACACACCCCACTACCACAAACCGTAAGTGTTGCGGGGAGGGGGGGGGAGGGAGGGGGGAGACAGTAGCCTATCTACAGGGGGTGGGTGGCCCTAAGGTCCTAGAGGGGGTGAAGTGGCAAAGGTCTTACAGGGGTAGGGGCCTACGGGGGGGCGGGGGGGGGGACTTGAAGGTCCTACCTAAGCTCCTTCAGCGGGTGAGGTGGCCTAAGGGCCTACAGGGGCCGGTGGCCCTAAGGTCGCAGGCAGGCTGCGCCGCCCCGCTCCCGGGAGCAGGGTTAAGTTCCAAAGGAAAAAACGGGAAAGAGATCCGCCTGTATAATGCCAGGCACACTCCGCCAGCCTCGGGGGCGGCCCTGCACCCTCCGGGACGGCTGGCCCCACCGGCCCTTCTTCCAGAAGCATCGTCCGAGCACCTGCCACCCAGGGCCCCACCGCTGCCCGGCCCGCCCGGCCGAAGCAAGGACCGGCCCGCCAGGAGGGCTGCCGTGGGGGCAGACCTCCGAGCAAGAGGCTCCACCCAGGCCTCTGCACACGAACTCACCAGCCTGGTAGCGCGGTAAGGCCCGGGCCCCACGATGCGGTGCTCCATGGCCCCCACGTCGCCCGCCCGGCCGCCCCGCCAGCCAGCGCCGGTCCGGGCGCCGCCCCCGCCGCAGTTTGAATCGGGAGCCTAAGCGTTCTGAGCACTGATTGGGCGGCGCGTGAGGCACGTGACCGGAACTGCATGGGTGGGCGGGGCCGGCGCCTGCACACCTCCCTGTGGCGGATCCTGCGGAGCTGTCCTGTGTCCCCGCCCCCCACCCCCCCCCTCCCGCTGCCGCTCCGCACTCACCGCCACCGCCCGTGGGAGGGGACGCCGCGCCCCGACACCGCCCCGGGCTTCCCCTGCGCAGGGCCGACCCAGCAGGCCCGAGCCCAGTTGGGGGCTGTGCAGGTAAATCCCGGCCCGCAGCACCGAGCGAGACTGGAATGGAAGGGGCGAACCCAAAGCCTGGACGAGGTCAAGGACTTTTCACAGCCGAATGAGGACCACGTGCGCTGTAGAGTGCGTTCAAGAGCCGTGGACCTGGAGCAGAGCCCAGGCTCAGCTTCTGTTGTGTCCTCTGGATTGAATATAAAAGCCTTTCTTTTCTTTTTCACTTGAACTTGAGTTCTCTGGTTTGCATCTGAGTGAAATTTTCATCCTGTGTTATAGGTAACTTTGCTATCACTTTCCCTCTAACACCCCCACCACACACACACACACACACACACACGCAGGAATTGTTCCAATTTGCAAATATTCAAGGAGAAAAATGAGGTCACCACTCTATATGTGTGCCTCGAGTTAAGAGTTCTTGTCTGACCAACTCAGTGAGTACCTAGGATAAGACATCATAAGTAATTGCTAAGTAAAAAATGAACTCCCACCTTAGACCATCTTCTCCCCCATTTGCAGCTTCAGATGTGTACATAATCTCATTTAGAAAAATCCCAAAAACTCCTGGAATGATGAGCACATAATATAAAGCAATAAGGATTACTTTTACTTGCAATAAGTGAAACTTTATCACATTATTTACACCTCCAAACTCCAAGAGATTTGCTTGTTCTTGACAAAGGTTACCCAAGGATGCTTATATCCTTAGCAAGAGAAACAGGTGGAAGGAAATTTTAGAGTGTTGTCCATGTTGAGACCACCACCAGCTACTAAAGCTGTGAAACAAGGATTTGGCAACAAACCACGCCCATCACTAAATTAGGCAGCTTCCATGTCTGTGGAATTTTGCTAGATCTGAATTTCAGTAATAACCAGTATTATTAATAGCTGAGTGACTTCAATCTAATTTTTTAATTCCCATCTACTCCCTGGAAAAATGGAAATATCGATAATCATCTCAGAGATAATCATCTCACAGAGTCATTATAAGGATTTGAACTGATACATTAAAGTGCTAAATATAGTGCCCAGGACACAGCAGCAGAACAATTTAAAAATTCGTGTGAGTTTCTTGGGCATTTTCCCAAGAGTCCATTATAAGCCATAGATAATTCCTGTTCACTGCACAGGTTTGCCTCCCAAAGATCGACATATCAGAAGTCACAAACACAGGGTTTGTAAATATTGTCTAAAAAGGATCTCTGATTGTCTTGCACGCTTTCAATATCCCCAAAAAGGGACTCAGGAATTTCCCATGTCCTTCTGACCTATGCTTCAGGCGCCATGGGCTTTTGCTCTATCCCATAAGCTTATTTCTATCTCACAGCCTTTGCAGTGATTGCTTAAAAAAAAAAAAAAAAAAAGTTCTTGCTCCAGCTCCTTACATCGCTTCTCTGTCTTCATTCAAGTCTCAGTGCTAGCCTTCAACTGATCTACAAGTTTTCCTTCATCTTGCTGTGTAGAGAGACCTCACACACACACTCCACTCCTCCAGCCCACTCAGCACTCATCTGTACCAGCATTACTTCGTTTTACCATCACCCTCTATTAAAAAAAAAGTTTTGATTCAATAAAAGGATTCCTCTTTCTCTCAGAGTATTTTTTGGCATAGGGGGAGATGTTTTCTTCTTTATTCATGCTTTTTAAAAATGATTATTATAAAGGGGATGTACAGAGGGATTACATAAGTCAGATAAAGAGTACATTTCTTTTTGCACAGTGTCACACCTTCCTTGGCTCTCTCCCGATTTTCCCCTCCCATCTCCACGCACAAGTTGAACAGTTCATTTTCAACATAATGTCTAGTGAGAACCACTGCTGCCTCTGTTCACCCTTTGTCCCATCGTTTCTGTGACCCCCTCTTACCTTCCCAAAGGCAGATAAATGAACAAACAAAACAAAACAAAAATGAAATGAAAACAGCAACAAAGGGAAAAACCTATTGTTTCCATTTCCTGGAGTTCATTTTGATAAATATTGTTTATAAATATTATTTATATTATAATCAGATATACATACGTATCGTGCCTTTGTGTTCCTCTCCTAAGAATATTCTCCTTTGGTCTCACTGTCTTAATGCCTGTATAATTTATCAGGTCCCAGTGTTTGTTTTTGCTTTGCTTAGCTTTTGTTTTGTTTTGTTTGTACCATCCAGTATGTTTATTTGTAGATTTACAGGCACATTCTAGCTACCACAAATGAGGAAAACCATGCAACCTATAGTCTGGCTTAAAAAATATATATTCCAGGCACTAGTGGCTCACACCTGCAATCCTAGTTACACAGGAAGCTGAGATCTGAAGATCACAGTTCAAAGCCAGCCTGGGCAGGAAAGTTCATGAGACTTTTATCACCAATAACCTACTCAGAAAAGGCTGGAAGTGGTAGAATGGTAACCTTGAGCACAAAGAAGCTCAGAGACAGCACCCAGGCCCCTAGGACAGGCAAAAAAAAGTGTGTGTGTGTATGTGTGTGTGTGTGTGTGTGTGTACATGCGTGTGTGTACGAGGAGCCAGGAGTGGTGGCTCAAAACAAATCTCAGCTATTTCATAACAATATTTCTGTACATATATATAATGTGCTTGGATCAAATGTACCACTTCCGTTACTCTAATTCCCTTCTACCTTCTAAAATGGGTTTTATTATTCTATATTCATACATGCATATAAATGCCATAATCATTCACATACACTCACACACACACATCTATTTTACATTTCCCCTCTCTCACTGGTTCTCATCCACAAGCAGTTCTCCTATTTTACACTTACAAAATTCTTTCTTTTTTTTTTAAGATGCAAATCTTGCATATGAAAGAAAACATGATATTTGTGTTTCTCAGTCTGGTTGATTTTACTTCACATATTAACTTATACTTCCACTCATTTTCCTGAAATTAACATTTTATAGTTGATAACTAGTCCATTATGTAGCTATACCTTTGTTTCAATATTAAAATATTTTACTTATTTATCAATAAAATTCAAATATTCTATAAATTATCCTGCTATGTATGAACATGATACTATCTCTCTTATTTTCTCCATAACAACTCCCATTGAATAAGTCCCAAAAGAAACTAGTGTATTTGTTTGTCTTGTTGTTCCATAAAGTTATGTCTGTTTTAACTGAAAATCTACCTGAGTAAGTTCTCTACCAGGAACTTGTAATTGATACAATTGTGGAAAATATCTAATAACTATTAAAAATATATACAAATAGGTGTGGTGGCATCCACCTGTAATTCCAGCACTTAGAAGGCGGAGGCAGAAGGGTCTTAAGCATGAGAAGCATAGTTCATTTGAAATAAACCTGGACTATATCACAAGATCCTAGCTCAAAATTAAATTTAAATAAATTTAAAATGTATGAATAAAACAAAACAATAGCCAGGCGCTAGTGGCTCACGCCTGTAATCCTAGCTACTCAGGAGGCTGAGATCTGAGGATCGCGGTTCAAAGCCAGCCGGGGCAGGAGAGACCATGAGACTCCTATCTCCAATAAACCACCAGAAAACCGGAAGTGGCACTGTAGCTCAAATGGTAGAGCGCTCGCCTTGAGCTGAAGAGCTGAGGGACAGTGCCCAGGCCCAGAGTTCAAGCCCCACGGCCGACAAAAAAAAAAAAAAAAATAGCCAGGAGCTCCTTGCTCATACCTGCAAACCTAGCTACTCAGAAGTCTGAGATCTGAGGATTATGGTTTGAAGCTAGTCTAGGAAGGAAAGTGTGTGAAACTCTTATCTCCAACTGACCACCAAAAAAAGCTGGAAATGGAGCTCTGGCACAAATGGTAGAGTCCTAGCCTTGAGAGAGAAAAACAAAAATAAAAACAGAAACAAAAACCCTCAAGGACAGCTCCCAGTCCCTGAGTTCAAGTTCCAGGACTAGAACAAACATAAATAAATAAATCTCTCATATGAGTATTTTGTTTTCACCTTTATTTTCTACTTTACATAAATATATAAAAGTTACCTCCTCTTTCTAGAATGAAACACAAATTTATAATAAATGTTTCAGTCCTTATAGTTGTAAAGCATCCTTCCAACTTTACTTGAATTATTTGATGTCCACAATTGACTGGCTATGTACATACAAACATCTCTGTTTTGCCATGAGGAAAGCTAAGTACCAGGGCCATTAAGCAACTTGCTTAGAGTCCTGCAGCCAGTAATTAATAATTCTTGGACCTAAACCTAGATCTTCTACCACAAAATCTTTACATAGTGGAGTTTAGTTTCACTTGCTTGCTTGGTTTTGGTTGTTTTTCACTAATACCTTCAAGAAACAAAATGGACCTCAGACATGGAGATACCTACCCTTGAACTAGCTGCAAGTAGGAGGATTGTGAATTCAAGGACAGCCTAGATTCTGATTTTGAGACAGACCTTGTCTCAAAACAAACAAACAAACAAAAAACCCAACAACCTAAAAGACTCAAAATGGATATGTCCCAAATATATAAGGTAAAAATCACACATAGTTATAGAAAGACATTTTATAAGAAAGGAAAGAAGATAGAAACCTGTCATAAATTTATCCAAATAACCCTTATGAGAAATGAGTTTTACTTTTTAAACTCACACACTTAAAAATAAATAAAAATCACATACTTCTTTTTCAGCACTCTGGTTAAAGTTTGGATTGATTTTATAATTTTTTATATTACATAGGATTAATTGTATATGAAATGTAAATTAAATCAGAT